ATGCAGAAATGTAGGTCTTGGAGGGGTCAGGCAAGGGGATGAAAATTGTCCTTTCTGACTTCATACCTAGAAACGGATGATGTGCTGCTTTTAGCTACTGCCTGAAGACGTGCGAGTTGCATGGTCAATCTGAAGAGAAACATCAAGCATGGCAAGACTACGTGCTGCCACTGTACTGCAAGGCTAGTTCCTTAATACATGTGCAATTTTCCCAGTTTTAAGATGCATGTTAAATTTAAGGCAGATATTCCTGTAAGCCAATTCATTTTTCTCAGCGGTCTCCTCCCAACCACAGCAATACAGCTGAACTCATCTATACAGCCTGAACTCATTCTTCCATGCTTCCAGTTATTTTCTAATGCTTTTAGTGCCTTTGCAGCCCCGCCCCTTTTCTTGACAAAAATGCGCGTTTCTCAATAACATCAGGATTCCAGAGAAACTCTGGAATATTAGCTTTCCTTTGGAATCAGCATTTCTTACTGGGAAGATGGCTGAGCTTTCAGATCTACATTCATCACGTCACCAGTGTGTCGTCCCGTCTCAGTGTCTGACAGTCTGTTTTTGGTCACAGCCAGCTTTTCCATCAACGCAGAAAAGAACGTGTCCTCAAACATGAGATTTCTCCAAACAAGGCTGCCATTGACAAGACTGTGATTTATATTAAGACAGACTTCCATAAAAGCAAGCTGAAAACTAAAACTATGAACAAACAGAGCAGCTTCAGCTTCGTATCTGTTCCATAGCTCCATCAGGAAAATATTCTGGATTACATGATGAAAACAGGCATTAAAAATAGTTTAAGAAATACAAATGTTTTTCTGGCTCCCACACTCTTGCCCTGCTCCTCTCCCAAAAAGAAGAGGATAAGAGGTGTAAGAATCAAGCTATTCTCCTGCTAAGCAGGAGGATTTAACATTGCTTAATACTACTACTCAGCACTACCCAGCCGTAGCCCCAGGGCAACACGTTAGGTATTGAGTGCAAAGAACTGTATCTCTCTTGCAAAGCCTTCCATTCTGTCTTTCCCACTTTGCTGCTTTTCTGCAGACAGAACGGCACAATGCAGTGTGAGATGAAGACCTGCCACTCTCCTGCCACAGCCACTTACCATCTAATTCAGATGTTTGCCTCTGTAGACATTTCCAAACCAAGTCTACACAGTGGTATTATTTTACCTAGAAACTTAACTGCGTATCTCAGCTGGGCACTCATTAAGCCAGTCACATACAAAGCCTTCCTCCAAAGGCTGCTGCCTCCTGTTTTCAGCTTTTAATTAAAAATGTAACCTTACACAGGAACAGATCCTCCACTCAAAGGCAAAAGGGCGTCACTGAGCTCACTGAGAGTGGGACACTGCATTTGCTGCTGTATCTCCTGAAAAGGCAAGCACACTTGACACAGCTGAATTACTCAAATACAGTTAATAGAGACTTATATCACCTGAATTTGGCCCATAATATCTAGGCTTAAATTAGATTAGTTTCAGAGAAAGACAGAAAAATACAAAATAAAAGGGCAAAGCAGGAAAGATGTTTCAAAGCTTAGATTTTTTACAACCCAGCAGCAGATATGTTCGGATGCTGCTGGCAATCTGACTTCCTCTTATGCAGGGATGCGTGCCTTTGCGTGGGAATGGGGTAGTGCCTTAGGGGGACCAGACATCCATAAAGCTATCTGGCAGGCCATCATTCCTCCTTCTTGCCCAGTGGGGAGGAAAACCAAAGCTCTCTTACTCCATTTGTCCATGCCTACTCACACTGGCGTGAGTCCTGTGGCTCCCAGGTAGAGCAGAACAGTTTCCCTGTGTAGGTCCCAGCTACTCTTGACATGGCACAGATCCCCTCCTCCCCCCTCATCCAGTGAAACTGGCTGCAGGCCAGGCGCTTTCCTCTCTTTCCTTGTGTTGTGCCACACCAGAGCGGCAGGCAAAGGTCATATCCTCCTGGACTCAACACAATATCGCAATAAAAATCTGTTTCCCAGCATCTACAAACCTCATCTGAAGCCTCTTTAAGTATCTCTTATTATACTGGACTTAAACAGCTAAGTATGCAGACAATTATATACCATGTCCATACCAAATGCAGCTCGGGGGTTTGACCAAGGTGAGGAGAGGGACAAGACGAGGGCAGGAAACCATGAACTAATACTGGAATGCTGGGGAGAAGAAAGCTGCTCTTTGAGGAAATACTATCTCCGTACTACTTTCTGCCTTCCTATTTCTCTCTCTCTCTCTCTCTCTCTCTCTAAATAATGCTGCCCATAACAGTAGTATTCATGGATCCTCCACTGAGAATTGGTTGGCAAATGGGTGGGTTTTACCTGGATTCCTCTATATTCCCGGGCAGTCAGCCATGAGAACAAAAGAAATCACTCATTTCCATTAGTGGCTGGCAATGAGACTGCATCCCCTTCTTCTGGATTTAGACTTCACTACAGCAATCCAGTCATTTGTGACTGCCAGGGCTTAATTACTGCAGCAACATGAAACTGCAAAACTTAGAAAACCTAAATATAAAAGGCAGCCGCCGATTGCTGGTCCGCAGGCATGCCCAAGGCTGTGCTGTCCCAAAGCTCAGCTCCTGCCAGGGTGGAAACCCTCTGGAGACGCAGCAACGGCATGGCCCGTGTGTGGCAGCACGAGTGTTCGCGTCAGGAAGCACACACAACCCTGCTGACGTGCAGGCCCTCTCACTCTCCAGCATAATCTTCTTAGGCACCGAGAGAAACTACACTCTCCACACTGATCTCCAAAAGCTTATTGAATGTTTGGATGACTTCCTAAATGGCGAGTCCCAGCCAGCTAAATACTCAAACCTGTCATAAGAGCCGGAGAGTCATCTTTCCAGCAAGCTGAATGGAGTTTTTGGGAAGAACACTGTGAGATTCGTGATCTGATTTGGACAGACCTACTTTTTAAAAAAACCCCACAACACAAAAACGCAGGGTGTAGAGGTGAGCAGTACACACACCTCGGGGATGTGCCGAGGATGCAGCGGGTTTGAAAAGGAACAGGATAGAAGGAATATGGGGAACACTGCTGCATAAAGCAAGGGCATGTCTGCAGTGCTATGCTCAGTTCTGGCCAGCCTTTCTCTAAAGGAATACCAGTGAAATAAAAAGAATTGAGGGTGATGGAAGTTATTTCACCTGCAAATTTCCATTTTATACATACTGGAAAAATAAGGTTGATTAGCTTGAAGGGAAAATGAATAAAAGGAGACATGATACAGGAATACGAAAATTGCTGTAGAGAGTTACACTGGGCACCAATCGCTAATTTATTCTTGTAATTCACAAGGAAGTACTCCACAAAATTGAAATTTAAGATGGATAAAAAAAGAGTGCGCATAATTAAACTACACCTAACTAACCTGCAAAAATCACTGCTAAAAACATGACAGGAAACACGAGTGTTGGAGGACTATGAAAAAAGATGGCAATTTACCCAGGAGAGTAAGAATACCACAGTCAGCCAGGAAATACACAGAAGACACACTGCTGAAAAGCAGGATTCTGTTAGAAAAGCCAGTTACTGCACAGGACAAATTTCCAAAACGATGGCTGACACAAATATCGTTTGAAGGCAGTAACTGAACTACAGACGCATCCTTTGGTTTAGAAACCACAAACATTAAAAATGCTTACAAACATCCAACAACGTCTTGTGAGACAGCCTTTATACATTGGTGTCCAAAAGTAAGATATTCTTTGTATTTTCATCTGGAATTGGACGCAGCATTACATATTTATCAATCAGTCTCTCCAGTGACACCTTTGAATGTAAATGGAAAAAGAAGCAAAAAGAAACTATTCACTGATTTCCTAAATGCCAGCACTACTTCACAACGAAGAATCTCTTTTTGCTTCTAAATAGCTATTTTTGCTTTGCTTTTACAAATTATCTTGCTTGTAGGTCCAAGAAGTGGACTTGGCAAGCCCTCTAAGGTCTTTCCCAGCCTGCTAATTCTAAAGGGGGAATATTTTCTATTTTTGTTTTCCTCCCACTGCTTCCCACCACCTCTTCTAGCATCCTCTCGCTCTCCTTTCTGGCTTGCTAAATCTTACACGCTGCTATTAGAACTCCCATGGAAACGGGACTGAAATCTCCAAAATGCTTCCTTTTTGTTATGCCCCACTGGTTTCAGACTAGAATTACTCTTCATTGAGTTGATAAGGATTAAAAATTAAAAAAAGCCCTCAGAGAATTCACTCTCATTTCCACAGCGTTCAGTTAAAGCACAGAGATGCTCTACTGGAACAGGACTGCTATTCAGATGGCCTCTGCAGCAACAGCAGGACTTCAGTAGCTGTGGCTGCTGTAGCGGAGGCTTTCCACAGCAGCACTCTGTCAATGCCAGCCAGGATTATATCACTATAAACGCGGTCATTTATGCCCTGCTACGACCTGTTATAACTCTTGCAGAGCCAGCTTCCTCAATGTCATGTTCTCTACCTGTGGATCATGACTCTTGCTGACATGTTCAATGAGAGACCTTTTTTTTTAAAAATTCAAAAGTCCAAATTAATAGTACAGTTATAAAGATGGCACTAAATCAGCAGCAAAAGGTGACAAGACAAAACTGCAAAATGATCTCTCATGTTGGAGCTGGACATCAGCTGTGGGTGCTTTC